TATCATTTTCATGATGATGCCGCTGACCAAAATGAAAAAAATAGCGCAGGCGCAGAAATATCGAAACATCGATATTTCTTGCCAGTATCGATACTTTTCTTCAAAACCCTGGTATCGATAGTATCGAGTATTTGGTATCGATATCGGCCCATCCCTACATAAGTCCTACATGCAGTAGTGACTTTAAATTGCAATTTCTCGTGTAAAATTCTCTTCCAAATGAAAATAAAATTTCCTTTTATAATAAACGAATGGGTTAATTGTTAAAAACGTCCGCGTTGAATGCTGCAAAAAGTGGACTTTCTTCGCTCAATTTATCTCCAAAGTCACAAAATGTAGTTGAAGTAACGTAAAGAAAACTTTCAAAAAACTTTAGTTTTCCCTAAAAAGAAGTTCCAAGTGGAAACACTGCCACATGTTGTCATAGTAACCATAGTTGTTGTCTTCTTTGTATATCGCATAATTTACATAATTAGAACATTCAAAAGTATTAAAAGTGTTTCAAGTTTCAAAACAATGATTGTGTTTCAGTGTGACAGTTGTATTATCTCGAGTATTATCTCATTTTTAATCCGTATAAATGGACTGTAATAAAGTGTTTGAATATTCTTGTTCAAGTAATCAGTAATGTTCAAATAGATCATAAAAGTGGTTCAAAAGCAAAAAATTTTAAACTTTCTGAAGAACAAATACCGATCATTCATGCATGAAAAATCATGGGAAAGCAAGTTGATAAGGTACATCTTTATAAATTAACTTTAAAGTATTTTTGTTGACATTTTGTTAACTTGAAGTGTTTCTGTGAGGCTCATAATTTACCAAAATTATCATATGTCAATTCCCAAAGCGGTTTAATTAACAATGCATATTTATAAAACGTGACTTAAAATGCATATTTATATACTATCTGGAGTAAGATAATTGAAGCCTCTTACATTGAAATGTGCATAGCACGTGCATCTTATCTTTAAAGTTTTTTAAATAATCCAGATGCCAGTTGCCAATCCCCTATGAAAATCAATTTTCAAACATTCAATATAATTGTACATACTTAGGGGTCATTTTCAAGTAGAGCAGGTGGGTCAAGAGACTGAGTATTATTCTGTGACGTTTTCACGAATTTCACCATGGCAATCTTGTCAGAATTAGTCATGCCACGCTTGACGTTTTCAAGGATGTGTGGATTTAGATAAAAAACCTTAATTTATTGACGTTTTGCATGACAATTTGAATGTACACTTGGCCCCGAAATAGAACACAGAATATACAACTGTCATAGATGATATTTATATTAACATATTAATGGCTTGATTTATACAAGAGTCAGATCATCGGCCAAGCCACATCACCCATCTGACGGATCACTGATATTTTGTCCTAATGGATGATTCCTAACACACAGATAAATTATCCCTCCTTTGTGTAATAAACTTCTTTTGTAGCAGATAATTATCTTTCGGAGGAGAATAACAGCCAATTCAAATTTTAAAAGCCAGCCATGTGGTCCAACCACTGTGACATAATCCCCCATATTCAAAGACAATAAGCCAGGATTTTCTTTACGACCACAAGCATTAAATTGTGTAAGCTCACCAGCTTATGCATTAATTGACTTGTACAGTACGCAAGTCAATTTATTTGTATTACGTTTTGTAGGATTTCACAACAGCCTTAGAGCAGGCCAGCCAAACTCAAAGTAAACTATCACAAAAGGTTATCCGAGTGTTTTTCAGCTCACCATTTGGAGGTCTTGAGCTTGAACGAGAAGAACTAACAAAGAAATACTGGCCACAACTTCAGTCATTGTGTAGTCGTCATGGTTACACATTTGTTCCTGTTGACTTACGCTGGGGTATTACCTCTGATCTGTCGGCTAATGCATCCACCATAATGATCTGTTTAAGTGAAATTGATCGATCTGATATTTTTGTTGGATTTTTTGGCCAGGTATACATAGACTAGGTAGCATCATTTGCTTGGTTGCATTATATTATATAGTCCTTACTAAAGCTTTTGGATTTGGTACATAGCCATAAATTAAAGTATAAGGATAGAATAGGATAGAATATGATGATGGAATAAGATAGAACAGGGTAGAGTAGGATAGAAAAGAATAGGTCTGGATAGAATTGGGTAGAATGGGAGTGTGAAAATAGGATAGAATTGGATAGAATGGAATGTGATTAGTGATTACCTAGAATGAAATATGATAAAATGGAATGAATAGGAAATTTTGAAATGATTGACTGGACTGGAATAAGGAATAACATTATTTTGTGAAATAAAAAATTAAACTAGCACAGACTCTAGCATGCATATTAAATAGCATTTGCAATATCTTAAAAAGTAAAAAAAATGGATAACACTGATAGAAGACATACTAGCTATGTCTTCTATATTCTAAATGAGGCTTTATACATTGAAAAATATACTAAAACTATGAGAGTATTTTTAATGACAATGTATTTGCAAGTACTCAAAAAATTAACCAAAATTTTGAACTCAACAAGCTTAGACAAAAATTTCGGATAATATAGCCTTGCGAAGTTTGCAATTTTCAGTCATTTTAGATCAGCAAACGGGAAATGGTTACCACTTCTGTGCGTAAGGGACCGGTCATTATTTATGGTGGGGGGTGGCACCGAAGAGAAAAAGGTTGGGTAAACTAAATTTTGAGTAAGTAAAAGGTTGGGTAAATGAAAAACAAAACAACTCGAGGGTTGGGTAATAAAAAATTATTGTCATTTCCAAAGCATGACTCACTGAAGTATTGGGGACTAAAAAGCAATGGCAACAGTAGGCCCTACTCTGGGGCGATAACGAGATAATATCATGCGAGTTTAAGCAATTTTAGGTGATTTAAGCAAAATCTGCAATTTAAACAATGCGAGTTTGAGCGATATAGGGCAATGTAAGAAAACAATTAAAATTTTAGGGAATGCTGTTTTAGGTGTTTAGTGGTAATTTCAGGAATATACAACTATATCCCTGATGACTCCAATGAAATTACCATTAACCTATGCCAAGCATCCAAACATGAGTGTTCCCACAAACACACACACGTGCAGTGTATATAAATATACAATTTAACAAAAAAAGTTGAAGTCTGCCTGAAGAGGTTCTGGAGACAAACAATACAGTGTATGCGCATGACGATCAAGTGTTTAAAGGGTAAATAAGCTCAATATTCATGACTTTTTCCATCCATTGTCTATTTCGAAGCCATTGGGGTATTATTAAATTCATGACACAACTATAATACATGACCACATGTTCACATCATATGCAATTGCAAATAATTTTCAAAGGAGTAGGGTACAGAATTGCAATGTAAAACATATAAGTAAATTATACATGTCATGAACTTACCAGTTTGTGTTGAGTTAAATTTTAAAATTTTTATGACATCAAATATTATTTATTTATTTGCAAATCAAAACATTTTGAAATTCTCGTGTTTTGTTTTGCGCCCGCGATATATTAATGGTATTAACCGCTGTGAATATGATATACATTTTTAATA